AACTCGTTAACACAGGTAAAAACACAAATATTTGATTTATTTGGTCCTTTTTCAGGATTTGAAACAAAAATTAAGTATTTAAGTTTTTAAAAAGTTATTTATCACATTATCTGAACATTGAACCACAGCTACTATAAGAATGACATCACAGGGAAGATAACACAGATTGATCTGAAGAGGGAAACATTGTAAAAGGACGGAAAGATCGTAAATTCAAGTTCTGCAAATATACAAGTTGTGATAACATATTTACAATACACTGCTATTTACAATTGCATAATAAATTAAATCAGTACTTTATTAAATCAATTAATAAATAAATAATCATTACAGTTACTAAAATTTAAATTAAGATGTAAAAAACAAGAAAACAAACATGAATATGGAAATAAATTTTATTCAAATTGAGCGAAATATAAGGACATACGACAAACCGGCAAACTACAATTCGGATTGCGATCAGAAAAATAAATTTTTTAAAAAAGAAACAGATACGTCATGCCACTCACCTTTGTTGTTGTTGTGATCGCTCGTTCACGTGTAGGCTGCATTCTCATTCGTCGCACTGATAATCTGTTCAAACACAGAATCATTGTAAAACAGTTGGAAAAAATCAATAGCACGACTCTTCACTCACCGTGTCAATATATATTCTTGAATCCGGTCGCCTCTTCAAAATCCCTCATGTCTCCACTGTCGTGTGTCCCTCTGCCACTCCCATTCTCGAAAGTTGGCGGGGGGGGGGACACCTCGTCGAAACCGTCAAAATCTTCACGAAAATATTCGCGAAATTCCCTCTCCCCTTCGCGTAAATTATTCAATTCAAACACATTATTATTCCCGATATAGTCGTTGTTAATCATCTGATCGCTATCCGAATCGTAGTTGGCCGCCATTACGCTTGATTTACGATTCAAGCGAGAAAAATACCTGTCGCGAAAACAGGTGACATACCCGCGATTTTCGCGCCAAAAAGACGGGGAAATTCCATCGAATGACGTGTCAATACGTGTAGATCTCGTTTCCATATTTAGAACGAGATTACACACGAGAAAGGAAGTAGAAAGAGCGATTTTGTAAACACGCTCGCGCCGCCCGATTTATCGGGCAGCCGGGTTCTGGGCCTCGGCTTATGCTGCCCGATATTTCGGGCAGCCGGGTCCTGGGACACGGTTTATCCTGCCCGATAAATCGGGCAGTCGGGGCGAAAGGGTTAACCCACCTTATGTGATGATGGGTAAGGCACATAATTTAACTAAGATAATAAATAGTGGGATCGTACTCGGGGCTTATATCCCATCAAAACGAAAAAGTGTGTTAGTCTCTCCCCTGCCAGAAAACCGAGGTCATATGTTAATTAGTCGTCCGGCAGTAAAAAATGTTAGTTTAAATTTGGTTACTGAATTCAATGATATTAAAGATAACTTGAGTGCGATACCTGATCTTTCTACACTTATTATTGAAGTCTTGTTTGGAGATGCACCAGAAGATGCCTTCGAAATATTACCAGGTCTACATCAAATAAGCGACATAAAACATCGAATAGATAAGGAGAGGGAGTTGAGACTTGGATTGTATTAAAAGTATCGCAGAGCTGTGAATGCTCTCGACTCTCAGGACTGGCAGGAATAGCGATAAAATTCATTTCTCGTAAGTTGCAAAAGGAAACATTAAAACATGATAATATTCGGATACTCGCCGAAGTTGAACAGCATTGAGGACCATATTTCAACAGCAATGGCTAATTGTAAGAGTTTTGTTTAGTGCTGTCAGAACCCACCAAATACAACGTAATGAAGCAGGAGATTCGATCAAATTCTTGTAAGACCAGTGGTATTTGCGAAGACGAGAAAACAAAGATCATAGAACAGGGGAGACAACAAGCGCGTCAATTATTCCGTGCCAAAACCAAAGAACTTGTTGGAGATTAAAAATAGATTGCTTCCTATCGTTGGATCACATTTAAACGAATGCTTACATAAATATATAATAATGGAGAATTACAAACCAATTACAAAATTATCAAATGGAGAGAATTACCACAAGGTATATATTATATCAGTGATGTCAAACCAACCAAATACGGTAATCAATTGTTTCTTTCCAATTACCAAGAACAGCATATAGTCTGGTCTCCTAGTAAAATGAACGAAGAACTTAGTAAAAGTGTTGAATATCTCTGTTCAAAATAATGGTATACATATATGAGTAAAAATAATAGAGAATATTTTCATTACAATTTAGTTTAATGTCATAACGATCGTTGAATCGCATCAGCCTTTACACATAAAAAATTCCCTCTGTAGTAGTGGTATAGGTTTTTAAATCTGGCTCCAGTGGAAGTTAGCCATAATCCCCATTGCCTATACTACTATCCATCATTTACTGTCATGAAAATACATGTAATCTATTGTATCAGAATGGTGCAAAAAAGTCAGTGAAAAGCCTCTATGCACCTATAGTCACAGAAATTAAACAAGTTAGAGTCAAATAATATTCCAGACAATTAGTACACATGGTGCAAAATGCCTCTGTACATATTTTAAATGAAAAACCATTTTGCAAACATTATGATTACATTATGGAGAATGCTAACACATCATCAGTATGATCATAATGTTATTACTTGTTATTATATATGCGGGGCGGTCGGGTAGCCTAGTGGTTGAAGCGTTCGCTCGTCACGCTGAAGACCCGGGTTCGATTCCCGACATGGGTACAATGTGTGAAGCCCATTTCTGGTGTTCCCCGCCGTGATATTGCTTGAATATTGCTAAAAGCGGCGTAAAATCATACTCACTCACTCACTCATAACATTATGCAACACGACGAATGAAATACAGCTCTTTCTATAGATGGATCTATTAGCTTGATCATATAGCACATAATAAGTCGGGTGCAACCTAGCTCTTAGTTAACATCATATATTATTCCAAACAATCCTCGGGGCGCAACAAATGTTTGTTTGTTGTTAAACACCGCACTCAGCAATATTCCAGCTATAGACAGCGGTGTGTAAATGCTCCCTTGAGTATTTTTTTTTTACTGCAAGCGGGTGACCCGCGATGGTTAGAGAGTTTGAAAAGTGCGGAAATTCAACTGTTGAGATGTGTTACATGGCCGAGATTCACTCTTCAGGTACAGAAAACATGAATATGAGATAATATTAAGATTTATGGGCATTTCATAAGCTGTTGTCAGTCAATTTCTTACATTTATTGGAAAGTTGAATTATTTAGCCACATGCAATAGTGTGTATCCTATTTTCGTTGTAGAGGTGTGCCCACTATTGCAGGAAAATCTTCATATATAGCAAGTTTTATGTCATAAAAACCAGTGTTATTGAGATTATTAATTGTGTTAGAAAACTACATACTGCCCACATGGTCAGTGTAAATGCTTTATTTTCATATTTTGTGTAAACATGACATTTTCAAAGTTGCACGTAGCAAGGGAGCAGTCATTGTATTACAGTGTAAGGTATCATGCTATTGCTGTGTTGCAATTATATTATCAAAGAGTACTTCAGCATGTTTAATTACATGTATTGTCATGACAGTGAATAATGGATACATTCAATTACATTGTATCATTCTGTAATTTTCAGAAAAAGTAAATTCTGTGCTAGAAGAAATCTCGGCTTTGTGATCTCTGTAATAATAATTCTAATAATTCCTACCAATCACTCATCAATAATATAGCCAAGCTAGATGAACTCGACAAGCATATGGCTTATGAGAAAACAAAGCTTACACAGGCAAATGATGAATTCAGACGCCGTGTTGCTGAAAGATTGCATACCTTAGAAGATGAAATCACAAATCAGTCGAATTCGAGAAACTATTGATCAAGTCCTCAATGATGATACTACACTGGCCAAAAAAATTAAAACATTGTTCAGAGAACGGGGGATAAACATTAGCAGTATTTTAACCACATTGGGATTCATTATATCAACTTTGGCTCTCGTGTTAACTGGAGGTGGTGGTACAGGCAGCGGCACACCGCATAGTGATAAGGATGGTGTAAAAGAGTGGATAAAAAGCATTTATAGGCATTAGGAGAAGCACTAGCAAAGCTCGCTGGGAAAGCCGCATCTGCACTTCATGGTATTATAGGGAGTATTGTATCCTGGCTCTTGAATTTATTAGCCAAGACCGACACTTGGCTTAGTCAAAACTTGTGGGCACTGATTGTAGCAATTGTCGGGCTGTTGTATGTAGCTGCTAAAAACTGAAATCTTGCAACTGTTCTCGAATTTGTCCTGGTAAAAGGGTAATATGCCAGAAAGATCTGAAAGGTTGATTAAGTGCACATTAGAAGGTATTTTTTATCTGTTTGAAAAAATTAAAGTCAAGGTCACATTTCAGAAACAAATATTAGATCTGCACATGGAGAAAGTTAGAGGCTATTGCTCTTAAGACTGTCTATTTTGTTTTGTCAAGCTTCTGTGGCATATATCAAGGCGCATATATAACTATTTGGGTAATTCTGGTCACTTCACTTCACTTTCATTTTGCCAAAGATATAGAGAGCCAGATTAACTGACTGAAGAGTGAATGATATGAACTGTTGTTCCAAACATTTCTTTTTAACATTTTAATTGTACTGATGCCTCCTTGCATCACTGTTTGTTTGTTTGTGTTTGTGAAACAGTAGAAAATTGTCAGGACTATTATCTATAGTAGTTGTTTTGGTTTCTAGTTTTGAAATCAATTGGTTAATGAGGTAATCTATTATCTTGTTGTGTTTAGAACTTCTTACTGAACATTATTACATAACTGTAACCATGAACAGTTGGTTTGTGTGTATCAAATCAGTGAAAAGTAAGATGTATTTTCAATAAATTTAATTTCAGTAAAATTCAGTCAATTAGGGAGTTCATCAGTGTTTTTAATGTTGAAACTCACAAAACTAACTGCCCCCAGACTTTCCTTGTATTGTGATTGAAACTGTGCAGCTGAATAATTGTGAGTGAGTAACCGCATTGTATGTTCCAGAGATCTGTCTGACATTGGATGTTACATTAAGGTGATTGACGGTTGTCAGGAGCTGGACAGAGAAACTAGGTGAGGCACATGGTGTTGTTAGGTGGCTGTCTTTGTTAGCATTTTAAAATGTCCTGTGGGTATAATATCGGGTAGAAGATGACACGCCCCAATTGGTGGGGGGGGGTCATGCTTGGTGACGCTAACTTCTCCTGTTGCCTACAGTGTTATGAAAACAACTTCATGGTTCAGGGCACACAACAGCAAAACCTTCATCCCCACACCGTAATGAACGTATCCATGCAATGGCATTGTCAACAAACATAGGATTTTAGATTTACAGTTTTCATTTGGTCCAATGCACTTTGCCTACAGTGTTATCAAAACAACTTCAAGGTTTCAGGGAACAGATTTGCAAAAGCTTCATCCCTCAATCATAATGAACTTATCTATGCAATGTCATTTTTATTTTCAATATTTATGTATTCTGTTACAGGTGTTGAGTACTTTATCCAGTTATATAAATAACATGTTTCAAAGCAACTGACAGGTTTGTCAACAGAGTGTAAAGTAATACTAACATACAAAATACTTTGGACTTGTCAACAATTAATGTAAGGGGTGCATTATCATAGTGCAGGCAAAGTGCATTAAAAACCAACTTTACTGGAGGTGATTGGCACTGTAGACAAAGAGAGATGGAACCCATAGGAGTTGGCACATAATATTGAGCAATGGTTGTCTGATCCAAACTAAACTATTTACAGACTGCCATCATTCAGCTGGAATATTGCTGAGTGTGTTGGAAATTACTCAATGTAGCATACATTAATACATGAATAGTTTATCATTTCTTTTGTATTTTGTTACGGAAATATAAAGGAGAGTTTAAAAAATATTATGCAATGTAACATTAGAATCAAGTGAAATCTTTAATCTTTGACTTCTTTAACTCGGAGGCATAGAAAGCATTTGAAGTTAGAAGGAATCGCCTACTTTGCTTTAGGCTTAAAAAAATATAAGAATTGGCAATGGCTTTTGAAAATATTGGGCAGGCCGCTTTTTGGGGGATGGGGGTGTGTGTACGAAGGAGTAAGAATCCGTATATCGCTGTGTATAAGGCAAGTTTTTCGTACCTAGAATAAGGGGGCTTTCAAGGGGGCCTTCAAATACATGAAAAGGGAAGTAACTGCATGCTACATTGGATCGCATTGTTTGTAAGTACTGTAGCATTTCACTGTTGGGGTCGTGTGTTCGGGACGTGGAATATTTAAGGATTTTTTTTTCTTTGGAAATGGAAATAAAAACGATACATACGGCAGACTTTGTGATGATGCCGCCTTATTCTACGTTTGTATTTTACAGAGTGTTGGGTCTCCCTTCAGACTTCAAGGAAGGTGTAATATTCAGCACTTATGCTACTCTGGTTTCATCTGTGCAAAGAGGAGGTAAGTTTTGAAAGTTTTCATCTATGATCTCAGTGACAGTGTGTCTTCAATATGTTCACTTAATATTGAACCTATATCAAATATGGCTGCCAGATTGAAATTATTATTTTCAGGGTCTTACCAGAAGCAAAATAGAGTGTCTGATTTTTGTATAATAAATAAGAATGGAGGCATTCAATATCCATTGTAAGTCCCAATAATTTCATTAATTCAAGTATGTATATTTATATAACAGTTACCTGATATTTCTGTTCTTATCAGTAAGGCAGTCATTGTTTAAACAGTCCATGTCCGATTTTGCCTCGCTCAGTCATTAACTTGTGATTCAGACAAGAAAATCCCCATGTCTAATAAGCATAAAGTATTTATCACAAATACGTGGTATTTTGTTTGTTGTCGGGACAGTGGTTGCCCTGAGACACCCATTTAGTGCCTAGGGCCCCTTATAAGCATTCATTGACCCCAGTACTCAAGTGTATAGACACATTTTAATCCCTCAATTCTGGACCATCACTCAGCCATTCTTCATAGGTCATCAAAGTAGTGAACAGAAATACATCAAATTATCAATTATTTTCCTATGATTGTACGATATCAATTTGAACTTAAAAACGCTGATTTATTTCACAATTTATGGATATCATTTGCAAGCCTACAATTCTATCACAATAGTTGTAATAGACTGGAGTAGTCACCCCAAGTAATGAAATATGTGGGTTTACATTAAAACAACACATGTTTTGGGGAATGTCTTGAATCTTTACCCATGTAGGACCTTTCACTGCTAATTTTAAAGAAACCTCAAGGCCTATGAAGCTGCAGCTCTGCATGGAGAATCCAAGAAATGTTGTCTCTTTGGAATCTGCTGACTGTGATGTAAAGCAACATTCTCACTTTTAATAAAACTAGTTACTGTTCTAAAGTTCATTCAAAATTATCATACACCTGTTGAAATGGAACTGCGTTAATGTCTACCTCACAGGTTATTGAGAAAAGAAATTTTTCTACCGGGAACATCTTCCAAAAGGTCAAAGGTTATGAGAGAGAAACTGGAGTAAAAGTTTGTGGTTCACCTTTCTCCAAAAGGCATTTATCCTTGAAGTTGGTATATGCCCTATCGAGGAAAGGGTCCTGCTTTCAAAAGGTGAAGGTTTGGTCAAAGGTCAAGGACATGTAAAACTTGATCTCAGTTTCTAATTTGTAGACACCTCTAGAGGCATGCAGCTTTAGGATTCTTGAGAATGCAAAACCTCTATAACATCAGTGCCATAAATATGGTATTTTACTGTCATCACACTGCAAAATCTTCAGATTTTTTACAGAAGTCCTCTTCACTGTTAACTTTCCATGACTAGTTGAGATACTAATATCATCTTCCAACTTGCTCAGTGAGCACATTTACAGTCAAAAGACTATACCAACTCGTGAAACAATACTTTGAAGTTGACAGTCATCGCTGGTTGACCTGACCTCTCTAATTTACATATGCCATATTTGGCATTTCCTGCTGTTCAATTCATGCAAGTGATAGGTCACAAGTGGGAGAAGTGTGTTTGCGAGAAAAGAGATTACATGAAACCAAATTAACCTTTGACAGTCAAATTTCCTTTGAATCCGTATCTAATATAACTGATTAAAGTGTTTGATAGTTTTGTAAATAGAATTTAGATTCAAATAAATTTGCAATATTAGCTTTGATCTGATAATTCGTTTATACTGACACACAACAGAACAGCAAACATACAAATAATAATGATTTATTCTTTTGGGGTGGGGGATTCCCATTACTTATGTAATACAGCACACCACTCGACCCCATCCTGAGGGGAAACGCCCTGCAGTCTCAAGTGCTGAGATGACCAGGCCTAGTGGTGAAAATACTAACATTTTGGGGGCCATGAATATCCGCAACTACAGGCGAATACTCTGCTTAATAGTGGAAGGGAAACGCCTTCAACAGTGGATACAGATAACAAAGCTGTGAAGGGAAACTCCTTCAACAATGGATTACAGATTACATAGCTGCTACGAAAACGCCTTCAACAGTGAATTACAGATAACATAGCTGTGAAGGGAAACGCCTTCAACAGTGGATACAGATAACATATCTGTGAAGGGAAACGCCTTCAACAGTGGATACAGATAACAGCTGTGAAGGGAAACACCTTCAACAGTGGATACGGATAACATAGCTGTGAAGGGAAACACCTTCAACGGTGGATTACAGATAACATAGCTGTGAAGGGAAACACCTTCAACAGTGGATACAGATAACATAGCTGTGAAGGGAAACACCTTCAACAGTGGATACAGATAACAGCTATGAAGGGAAACACCTTCAACGGTGGATTACAGATAACATAGCTGTGAAGGCAAACACCTTCAACAGTGGATTACAGATAACATAGCTGTGAAGGGAAACACCTTCAACAGTGGATACAGATAACAGCTATGAAGGGAAACACCTTCAACGGTGGATTACAGATAACATAGCTGTGAAGGGAAACACCTTCAACAGTGGATACAGATAACATAGTTGTGAAGGGAAACACCTTCAACAGTGGATACAGATAACATAGCTGTGAAGGGAAACGCCTTCAACAGTGGATACAGATAACATAGCTGTGAAGGGAAACACCTTCAACAGTGGATTACAGATAACATAGCTGTGAAGGGAAACACCTTCAACAGTGGATACAGATTACATAGCTGTGAAGGGAAACGCCTTCAACAGTGGATTACAGATAACATAGCTGTGAAGGGAAACGCCTTCAACAGTGGATTACAGATAACATAGCTGTGAAGGGAAACGCCTTCAACAGTGTATTACAGATTACATAGCTGTGAAGGGAAACGCCTTCAACAGTGGATTACAGATTACATAGCTGTGAAGGGAAATGCCTTCAACAGTGGATTACAGATTACATAGCTGTGAAGGGAAATGCCTTCAACAGTGGATTACAGATAACATAGCTGTGAAGGGAAATGCCTTCAACAGTGGATTACAGATTACATAGCTGTGAATATACCTTTGGCAAATTTTCTACATGTATATACTCCTTCCAAATCCGATGCTTTTGTACATTCTTTCCATGCTGGCGCTTTTTCTATATATTGTATGGAAGAATATTCCACTTCTTCTTCGAATTTGTCTATCTTTGTATTTGCTGCTAGTAGTTCTTGGTTTGGTGTTTTTTCTACAACTAGTGGATTGTATTCTATTTTTTTGTTCTCGTTGTTGTAGAACATTTTTGTTTCTTCCACGTGCAAAGACAATTCGTCTCCTTCTACCATTGGGATCCAATACATAGACTTTCCATATCTATCCGGTTTTGTGTGTTGTGCAGCTGTTTCTAGCAATTCTAGTATCTTTCGCAGTCTTTTTGTTTGCCAAATAGCGGGAAAACAATATACATCTACATTTTCGATACATCTAGCTACAACACGTTCTCCTTTCCATCCGAGTATAGAAATAGTTTTTCCCGAAAATTCGGACACCTTTCTACACCAGCTTCCCAAATTTTGTTCTACAATATTTTTGGTTTCTGTAGATGCAGTTCTATATTCTTCTATATTCTTGTATGTTTTTTGTATTTCTTCTATTTCTTGTTCTCTCTTTTTCCTTTCCTACTTTTCTTTTTATATTCTTTGTTTGTGTATTTTTGCAATATTTTCTTTTCATAGATTGCTATCCAACCAGTCTTCTATGTCTTGCAATCTTTGTTCTCTAGTGGTTCTGGAAAGAGTGGATATTTGTATTTTGGTTTCCATTTCTATTGCTTGGAATTTGGAAACTTCTTTTCCTATTCTCTGGGATTTGTTTTTCCGGAATATCCAATCTATGTGTTCTGTGCTTGGGAGAAGCATGGAAGGGTTTGTATCTGCCTTGGATATTTTTGTTGGTTGTTTGGATGGCGCAAGAATAGTTTTGGAATCCTTTGCTTTTGTATAGCATCGAAGTGGTCCAAACTCTACACCTTCGTTTGTGGAAGATAGGATGTCTATACGAAATATTGGACAAGCGCGAAACCCAAAGTCTCCAATTGCAAATTCTACTGCTCTTTCCCATTTCTTCGTATCTTCTACTGTCTCTTTTTTCGGATGTATATGTATCCCTGCTATTCTCCTAGTTTTTGTGTGTGCATACCATGCTACAAATATCTTCCCGAGAGGTCGAGAGGCGACTATACAACATCTATCCAATTTCTTTGCCAAGTTTCTCCATTGGCTTTCTGGTGGTTGTTCGAAAAATAGTGGTTCTTCTTTGGGGGATACCAACTCTAGAATTTCGTCTACAACCCAAGGTCCTATGTCTTCGTCTGGTGCATACACAGATACTTCTATTCGAGAACAACCTCTTTTCCATACGTCTGGATGTAAAAATGTTTTTCGTAGGTGTCTGTTTGGACAATCTACATATTCGCAAAGATGTGCTATTGGATTCCCAACTCCCCCGCTTTCAAATTGGAAACAACTTTGTTGTATCTCTTCGCGGAAAATGTTCTATTGTTCCTACTGTATACCCAAGTACATACATGTTCTCCTACAGACGCTGTATTGTCTAGAATTGTTCCTTCTCTTTCTCCACAATCGTATTGTATACCTTGTAGAAAGTATCCCACGCTTTGTAGGTATCCCACTAGTTTTTCCTATCTAGTACACCAAGTAATCTCTAGTATAGTCTATGGAATATATCTCGTATCCGAAGGAATATAGTTGCATGTGTAGTGCAACCAACCCTTTTTGTGTTTCCTCTAGGGACAACTTGGAGACATCTATTTTGCATACAAATATACCTTTGGGTTCTTCGTTGGAAAATCTTTCCATCCATTTTTTCTTCGCTTTGTATTCTGTTTGTTTTTGTATTCGTTGTATTGTGTCTCGTATTTTGCTCCCAGAGCCTCCTATATAGGAAATTGTATTTGCAATAGTAGCATGCACGCGACATCCGTATACTTTCTGCGTTGCTTTTTGTATTTCTTGTAGTATACGTTTTGCAG